TACGGAACACTAGCTCCAGAATGTGGCCTCCAGGCAAAGCACCCACTGGCCCGGCCCCTTCTTTTCCACCACTTTCCCCATCGGGCTTCAGACTCCCTTGGGTCATAACAGGTCACTCAGCTGGCCTGGATCCAGTCCCACTCATGCCCGCCCCTCAGGGCTGGGGTAGACACCCCCACTGCAGAGCTGGTCAGGGGCCCTGGGGAGGTGGTCTGCACAGTAGAGAGCAGGCTGGCCATCGGCATATCCAACTCCAACGTGCTGGGTGGCAGCACGTGGTCCAAAAGGGATAAACACAGCCCCTTAGCCTTTCCTTGCATGGGGCTCAGGCCATACTGCTGAAGGCCCAGACATCTCCTCTATGTCTACCATCACCACCATCTAAAGGAGGGCACGGTGAGCACCGCGAAGGGTGCCCTGCTCTTTCTACTGGGATTCACTCCTCCCAAGCAGTCACTGCTCTGAAAAATGTGTTGGCCACAACCTCAGAATCCACTCATACACTATTCGTGCTGGGAACCGACATAGCCTCGTGATTGTAGTGAACAATAATGTATCAGATATTTCAAAATTGCTAAGAGAGTAAATTTCAAATGTTCTCATTACGAAAACCATAAGTATTTGAGGTAATGGCTCTGTTAATTAGTTTAATTTAATCACTGCCCCTTACATACATGCATCATAACATCACTTTGTACCCTGCAAATATATACAGGCATCATTGTCAACTGACAATTTTTTTAAAACTGAACTTACATATTTAATGCAAGTCAGAAAAAATGCAAATAAACTAAAAATTTTAGTGGGACATGGTGGTACATGGATATAATTCCAGCACTGTGACAGGCTGAGGCAGGAAGACCTTAAATTCCATCCCAGCCTGGGCAACTTAGCAACTTCGCGAGTCTCAGTCTCAAAAACAATAAAAGGGCTGCAGTTTGGGCTTGGTGTGAAAGCTTTGTGTCCAATCCCCAATACTAAACATACACACACGCACACATACATACACACACACACACACACACACACACACATACACACACATCTTACCTGGCATCAAACAAACTAAATTTGGAGATATACTTTAAAAAAAAGGGATGGGTGAAAAAAAATGAGAGCATGGAGGCTGAATTTTTTCCCCTTTGCTTCTGTGTATATTTGAACATTTTCACAATTAAAGGTTAAAACAAAGCGTTTAAAATGCACGGCCAAAGGGAGGGCCTTGCAAAATGTAAAGTCACAATTTTACAGCAACAGTAGGAAAAGGCACACACTCACTTAATTTGCAGTTTTTGTGAACATTATGCTGAGAAAACCTACAGCCAGAAAATGACCTGCATACGAGTGACACAGGGCCAAGTTAGGAGGTGGGGCCTCTACCCAGCCTCCTCCTCTGTCGGGGGGTTTCTAGAATGGCCATAGTGGGTTCTCTCTGATGCTTTTAAGCAGGTCAAGCTTCACGTCAATGACCATACAAATCGAGGCCATGAAACCTGAGAAAGTGACCAAGACAAAAGTTCACACCAAGCCTCGCCAGGTTCTAAGGCGTTCTCACCAGTTCGAACCTGGCGACACTGTGGCTCTACACAAACACAGCAGCTGGGAGGACTCAGAAGCCTGCTGCTTCCACAGAACATTTTCACCCAGAAGCTGGAAGAAATTTAGGAACATTCACTAACTAATTAGGCCTCTCAAGCCTCCTGCTCCAGTCCCCGACCCCTGCAGCCTGGTCAACAGCAACAAGGCTGGGGTAGGAAGAGGCAGCGTTTCACCCCCAGACCCAGGTGTAATCATACTGAAAACACTCAAGCCACCCTACTGGGAGCCCAGGGGACAACACTGAACTTTGGACCACTGGCGCTGACTCTGAAAACAAATGAAATCCATTATTGATCTGCACATTTCCTGCATCTGGTCCACCTAAGTCTAAAAGAGACGGACAGACGCCACCTTCCCATGTCGTGCGAAGGTGGGAAGGAGAGAACATCTGTAGGCTCATTCTGGATCATGGGCAAGAGAAGCCATTGCAGGATCTGGTTTTTCACCAACAGAGAAGTATGTTCCAACCACTGAATGGAGATACGAAGAAAACTGTGAAACTCTTTTCAATTGGTGCTAATACTTGCTTCTTCTGTCTCTGGAATTTCTGGTCCCGCTGATCCACATTAAAAAATTCTCAACCTAATTGTGTTAGAAGCAGGAATTTGGAAGTGTTCCTTCAACAATCTTCGTGCTAGCAGGCTTGATGGTCTAGTATGGGGACCATCTACAAAGCTCGAGTTAGAACAGGTGAGGACAGGTTAGAATAGGTTAGAATGGGAAGAGTCCAATCACCAACCAGTCATGAATCATAAGCTTTTCCAAAACTCACTACCCAGTTCAAGATCCTGATTGTCTTATACAAAGCCTAAAAATACTAAAGAACTGCTGAGTCCTCCAGAGTGAAATGTGCTCAGAACATGCTGGTAACCAGCACTGAGGAGGGTGTGCTTATGGCTGTCTAAATCACCAGTGGCTCCCAATAAAAGCAGCAGGGTGCATCTGTCGCAGAGCTGGGGGCTGGGAAAGACCATTCTCCACGTGGCATGGCCAAGAGGGTTAGCCTCTAGGCTCCCATTACTTACTGGGACAGCCAGCACAGAAAAACCACAGCCAAAGAGAAAAGAAAGGTGCCCGCCCTTTTCTACCCTCAAGGAAAGGTCAAGATTAGGTTGCCATGAGTGTACTGTCCCTCCAGAAGGAGAGACTGAGACCTTCTTATGGAGAAGAAAACACCCTGAGCCTTGTTGAGGAAAAGAAAGCAGCATAGTTGATTCTCAGAACACTTGGGTTTTTCTAGTTCAGAGCCATTCTACCCAACTGTGAGTGGTTCTTCCCAACAGTAATGCATTTGGGATGTTTTAAGTTTGAAATGACAGCTTTCTACCAACCAAAGGCTCCCTCTTACAGTCCTCTGGATGAGCAATACTAGCACATGTTACAGCTGCTTTTTAAAAATAGTTTCATTTCATTTAATTGAAAGCAGACTTGAAAAACTTAACTATTCAACCCAAGATCTACAGAAAAACAAATGTGAACAAATGTGGGCTGGACATGAGCTGAGGCCATGCCAATTCCCCTCACACCTCGCTTGCTGTAAGCCTCTTAGTCCAATGTACCACATTGCCAATGCAATGTATAGGCATCTTGACCCAGGCTTAATTTCCTAATGGAAAGATATGCATTATATCACTTCCATTAATCATTTTAAAATCTTCACTTCAAAAAAATTCCAAGTGTCTTTAAAGGAACTCAGACATGTATGAACCTTGCTTAATGTTGCCAGAATCCAACTGGACACTTTAGGCTCTTGGATGAAACACCAGTTTTGTACTATGAAATTAATGTCTTGGTTCTGAAAAATGTGGTATGAAGCAGACATCTAAAATAGAATGGAAATTTGTGGGGTTTGTTTCAAGGCTGTTACAAGTGACCAAACTTGGATTTTTCAGGACAGAGCCCAAATTGGAATACTGTAATCTGATAATAATTTAATCCATAATTTGCTACACACTTTTAAATCTGAATACTGGAGAACATTGTTTCAGCAATCAAGTGACAGAAAGCAAGCCAGATAACTAAATGTTAGTGAAATGATGGGAGCAGAAATAGAGATTATCCTTGTAAGATACACACACACACACACACACACCAAGGTTGATCCATACAAATGAGAAAACAAAACCAGAGACAAGCAGAAAGCATCATGCAAGTGAGTGCCTGGTGCATGTGAGACCACCTAAGCACAAGGGACCCTGCTCTGCACTTTGTTTAGCCAGGAATAGTGGGAAGATGGTACCACTGTACAGCTATTATTGTGTGCCCACTCTCCAGGGTTCATGGTTAAAATTCTAACAGTTCTACTTGGTTTCCCTGATTTTGGTGATTCCTAGGCCCTCCTGGTGAACATGAGCAACAACACCCGTGCTAGGCTCAGGAGCACTGTACCAGGAAGGGGTGCAATGTGTGACATTACCCAAAGAGGCACACTGGACTCAGGAAGACTGTGATCCTGGGCAAGCTCTCAGTCTCTTCAGACCTCAGTTTGCTCATCTGTGATATGGGGATAGTAATGGTGCTTTTGGAGAATTATGAAAATTAAGCTGGGGACAGTGGAACACACCTGTAATCCCAACACAAGGGAGGCTAAGGCGGAAGGACTGCCATGAGTTTGGGGTCAGCTTGGGCTACACGGTGGGTTCAAGCTCAGCCTGAACTACACAGTGAGAACTAGTCTCAGAACGCCAAAAATAAATAAATAAGAACTGTGAAAATTGAGATCATACCCCTTAAGACCGTACACAATGCCAATCTCAAGGCTTCTGAAGCCATACGTGACAATACACAGGATTGGCATCTTCTAACACCCACCATAAAAGTCAAGTCAGCATATACTGTAATTGCTTCCAAGTTCTATATATTACAGTAGTGAGCTTCTTCACCAAATATTTACAGAAGACAGAGTGCTATCAGCGCTTCCTCCGGAGCCTGGGTTTTGGCGCCTGGGTCCCATGCCCTCAGGGCGTGGCGCCAGCCACATAAACCTAAGGGCCATGGCTGGTTTGTTTCATCAACAGGTGCGCCGGAAAGAGAGAGCCCTGGCACAGCATCGAGCCGGCTCCGCGTCAACCTCGAGTCCACCGCGAGTCCAGATATGCAGGGCGCCCTGACCAACCTCCACGAAAAAGAGCCAGCAGGCTCCCCAAGAACAGACCCCCGGGTTGGGGGTGCGCGGACCCGAGACCCTAAGCACCACCTCGCCCAACCAGAGGTGCTGTCTGGCGTCCCGTCCCGGGGTCGCCTTCTCCAAAAAGTCACGCCCCGGGGCACGAGCCGCAGCCCCGCATCCCCGCGCCGCCCGCCAGGACTGCCCGGGTCCGGCTTCCGCGGTCTCGGCGAAGGCAGGCGCCCTCCCCTGCGCGTGCCGCTGCCCGCACTGGACGGCGGGACGCCGCACTCACCCAGCGTGGCCACCGTGCCGGCCTCGAAGAGCAGGCAGTCTCCGCGGCCGCGCGCCTCCAGCAGCACGCTGCTCTCGCCCGAGGCCTCCAGCCGCGCGAGCAGCCGCAGCCCTTTGCTCAGGGCCATG